TACATGTTAAATAACACATCTTTTTTTAAAGAATGGTGTGCATAAATGGTAGTATAAGTAAATTAAGCAATTAGTAGCAGTATTAATTAAAGATCTCTTTTGATCTAGCAGAAGAGTTTATAACTTCTGTAAAAATTGCCATAGAACAATTCTGACTAACCCAAACCACAACTGGGAAAGCCGTTAACAGTGCAGAGGGACGGATGTCACAAGGGATTTTTTTTCTTCTCGTTTTTTAACATTACAATAGTTTTTAAACTGAAAAAATCCAAAATCGAGGCATAAAAATGTCACATACTTAATTAGTATATACACTGTGATTTTTAGAATCTAAAAGAAACTATTCATTGAGTAAGATGCAACTTAAAGAAAAACAGAGGGTCCAAAAGTAAACCATCACTCTCAAAACTCTGCTCAGCAACCTCAAATAATGAGAATATGTGTTCCTGGATAGAAGTAACTAGAACTCCAAGAATGCAGAGGAGACCAACATGGTAAGTACAACAGGTTGTGATCAGCCAGTCCTCTTAAAAGTCCACATTCCTCAGGACTCTTACCATCCATTTTCTATTATCGTTGTCTCCAAATTCCCATGACATACAGTCACATAATTTTATGTATTACCTAATGCACTAATTTCCAAAACTCAAAACCATCTTTTCCCCTCTATTCTCACTGCCATCACCTTGATTTAATCCTTTATTATTTCTCATCTGTTCTGCTACAACAGCTTCCTAACTGGTCTCCCTATGTGCATCCTCATCCTTCTCCAGTCCATTCTTAACAGTGTAGCTGGATACAAACGCAAACCCAATCTGATCAAGTCTCTTCCCAGGTTAACTGCCTCAGAGGTTTGCCATGACCCTTGGCTGCTTCATTTTTCTTCATTAATCACCATCTGACATACTATATTACTTGTTTGTTTGCTATCCCTGCCCCAACGAGAAAATAAGTCCTTAAGGACAGGTTTTGTCCACTGTTTTATGGTGCATAGCAAGCACTGAAATAGTCACACATGAATGAATTAATGAGCAAGTGAATGAAGGAATGGACTGACGACCACCAGGTCAAGGCCTCCGTGACCTGCCAGTGCCCTCCTCCTTCTACTTCACTTCCACCTCTACCAATACTGAATTGTTTAGTTACTTAAATATATATGCACTTTCATGCCCCCTTGCTTTGCCATATGCTAATACCTTTGCCTAGAACTCTCTTCACCATCCAACCAACCTGCCACACCATCATCCATATTTTAAAACGTCTCCAGAAGGCTTCCCTTGACCCCAAGGATAATCACTCTACTTTCCATTGTGCTATCTTTGTACCTATATTTATAGTGGCTCTACTCAAACTGTACTGGAATGTGTATATCCCTTATTATTGTGAATTCCTTAGGGCCAAGGACAATTATTCATCCTTCTGCCTTCAGTCCTTAGGACATTACTTGTCATAAAGCAATTATTCTATAAACATTGGGTAGATTAACATATGCATGACTATCCTACGAAGAAAATGAAAACACGAAGTTTCAAAAAGTCACTCCTCCAACTCCATAATGATAACTAGCCATGAGTTAGAAAAATTACAACTAATTACATCATCCAAGGTAATCAGAGAGGAGTTATACAAATAACACACATCACCAAGTGATTCCAAATAAGTGACATACAGTCACACTCAAATTTTATTAAACCCTGGCTCCTTGCTTCATCATTTGTCTTCCCTTTCGACTCAGCTCTGCTGCTGGCAAACTGAGGCCCAACTAAGCAGGAGGAGTTGAAGGGAGACCTTGGTTCCCCATTAACAATAAAGTAAGTAGATCACTTTCTAAGGGAGCTTTTGATGTTCCATATAATACAAGTTTTTATGTTCCCTCATATTTTGACTCAAACTTCAAAATATTTGAACAGGACTAGATTTTCTCACTAGCCACACCTAACTCTGAATGAAAGACCAGAGCTTTCTACAAGGTGTAATCTATGCCAATAGTAAGTTATAGTTGTGGCTTCTGTCTATAGAATAACCACATAAACCAGTCACCTTCAGCCATAGGAAGCCTCATTCATCACCCCAGTGTACCTTATAAACATTACTATATTTCTCTGGCTGCTGCAGACCAAGGCCCCTAAATCTAACAATAAGGAACACCTGATGTACTTACTTAGTTCTAACAACGTGAACATGCATATAAATGTACAATCATGCAGATACATACAAATAAATACACATAAGTGTACATGAAACCATTTAGGGAAAAAAAAAGTTTTAAAACCAGTGATGGCTAATATAACATCAAGTGAAGCCTGAGGCCAAGATGTGATCCGTGAATCCACCCCCCACCCCAATCATTCAGGAAACAAGTTAAAAAATTTAAGTCTTGGGACATCTGGGTGGCTCAGCGGTTTGGCCTCTGCCTTCGGCTCAGGGCGTGACTGGAATCCAGTCCCGCATGGAGCCTGCTTCTCCCTCTGCCTGAGTCTCTGCCTCTCTCTGTGTGTCTCTTGTGAATAAATAAATAAAATCTTAAAAAAAAATTTACGTCTTATTTTTTCAAATAGGTTTGCCTATTCCCATTATTATGCCTTAGTTCAGAATGGCAATACTTGTCATTAGAGTAAGAGTCTCCTAAATGACTTCTCTGTCCTTGGACTCCATGAAAATTGCATCTATAATTTCATTTGGTGAAGGGTTATGTAACTGGCAATGCACTAAGCCCTTGATCACCTAACTCTGTATCGTTGAATTCTCACAGCAACACTCAAAGCAGGAATTACTATCACTTTCAGACAAGGGACTGAAACTCTGTGAAAGGTTAAGTGACACTTGCCCAAGGTCATGCAACTGGAACTGTGTAGTGGAAATTCAAACTCAGGTCTTCCTTCCCAGCCGTTATACATTCAACTGCTTAACCTTCTTCAATTCAGTCCCCAATGGGACCTTTCTAAAAGATAAATGTAATCATGTTTTGCCCTCACATAAAATCCTGCAAACAAGACTTGCCTCCAACCCTCACCCTCTATTATTCTCAGCTCCTCCTACCACACTGAACTCTCAACCAGTTTCCTAATCTTTCACTGCTTTACCTGTGAACACATTGTTTTTCTGCTAAGAACACTTTTCTCTTTCACCAGGTTACTTCCAAACCAAACTTCAAGATCCACTCAATCCTTACTCCTGGGAGCCTTCCACCTTACATACATATCTAAAACTGGGTTAAAGGGGGAATCCCTGGGTGGCTCAGCGGTTTAGCGCTGCCTTCAGCCCAGGGCCTGGTCCTGGAGTCCCAGGATCGAGTCCTACCTCGGGCTCCCTGCGTGGAGCCTGCTTCTCCCTCTGCCTGTGTCTCTGCCTCCCTCTCTCTCTCTGTGTCTCTCATGAATAAATACATAAAATCTTTAAAAAGTAAAGAAATAAAATAAATAAATAAAACTGGGTTAAGTGATCATTTGCTATGGTCACCAGCTAAATTTCTTATCACACCGTATTCTACCTTTACCTTACTAGGCTGTTAGCTCCTTAAGTAAATATTGCATTTTTAAGTCTCTGTATTCCTGGCAGAGTATACACCCGGCAGAGGAAGGACTCATGGATGCGGAATTACGGAATGAATTCGTCATAAGTAGTACAAGCTAAGAATTTGGCCCTCAAGTTAATAAGATGTATTTGGGAATCTGAAACAGACTTCTAAATGTCCTACTCGTTCATCCATAGATGACTGTACCTACCTCAGAGTTTGGAGAGGAGTAAAAGAAGTAATAGATTTAACAGTCTCTGGCACATGGACAAGCACCCATGAAACATTACCCACACTTTCTCTCACCCTGAAAGTTCATCCGCGTGACAAGGGCCACATCTCAGAAAAGAGTTTGTTCTAGTAGCTTCCAACAGCGCTTACTATTTCTCCAAAAAGTACTAAGTCAAGATCTCAAAAAAAAAAAAAAAAAAAAAAAAATCCTCATCCACAAGCAAGGGGCTTTCAGCTTCTAGTTCACCGGAGCTCAGCAGCCACCACCACAGTCTGAATCATTAGTTAGCTTCTGAAGTTGTTTTTGTTTTGTTTTGTTTTTTTGCTTGTCACCACCCCTCACTTTCCTCCCTCAAAGTCAAGGCCCATGCCCCTCAGCAAACGCACACCTGCCCCACAGACACCCCGTCAGCACCTTCCTCCAAGAGCCACACCACCCAGGCTTGCGCCAATTGCAAGAGACCCAGCATCCAGTACACGCTTCCATCAGGCTTCTCGAGAGGCGCATCACGGAACCCTCTGTATCCGCTGCAAGACCTTATCATGCCCAAGAATTAATTCAAGATCATGAATTCCTGGTAATTAAGAATCCAAGAAAACGGGGGCGGGGTGGCTGAAGCCTCCCCCCCCCCCAAAAAAAAAAGAGTTCTTCAGATTTTGTGACTCTCGAGTAAGGGAGCCAGAACCCGGCATCCCGCGCCGCCGCCTTCCTGCCGGAGCCCGGGGTCCCGTCCACCCTCTCGGGAGATGCGCCTGCCCTTCCCGGGACCAGGCTGCCTCCGTCGCCCCCCGGCTGTGCCCCCCCCCCCCCGCGGCACGGGCCCCGCCCGCCGCCGCCGCCGCCAGCCCGCTCCGCCGAGCCGCCGCTCACCGCTTCTTGGGGATGGTGCCCGACTCCTGCGCGGCGGGAGCGGCAGTGGGCGCCGCCGCCGCCGCCGCCGCCGCCGCCGCCGCCGCGGCTCTCCGCGCTTTGCACTCATTGGTACTCACAGCCTCCCAGGGCCGGCCCCGCAGATGGCCCGAGAGAACCCGGAGCCTCCGCCCCGCTCGGTCCCGGCCCGGGTGGGAGTCCCGGCCCCCGCCCGCCGCGGAGCCTGAGCCCGCGCCCACGCCCGGCCCTCCGGCTGCAGCCGACGCCTCCGCCATGGCTTCCGCCTTGTGCCACCGCCCGGACCGCTGGGCGCGGGTGAAAGGTCACTCAGAGCGGCGCCCGGCGCGACCATTCGCTGCGGCGCATCCCGGCAGCCACCGCGGCGGCTGGGCGGCGGGTGCCATGCGCCGGCAGCCGCACGGTCTCAGCGCCCGCCCACCCGCCCGCCTTCCACGGTCACGCCTCGGACGCCCAGCACCTGCCCCGCAGGTGAGTTCCAGACGTCCCCGGATTGCGCCGAGCCGGAATCCACACCGCAGCCCTCCCCCTGCCAGGTGCCCCAGCATCCTCCCGGGCCCCCGTGTAGCTCCCCGGGGCCGACGCCTAGGACCCGACAGCTCCGGCAGCGCCATCCTTCCCCTGAACCAGCCCCTTCTACACCCCCGCGTGTCCCCTCCGCTTCACCAAACTTAAAACGGACTCCTCGCCCGTAACCATGAGACCAAATAGCTGTCATTTATATCCTCATCGCCTACTTCGTGATCGGCGCTGTGCTTAATGCTAGACCTCAAGCAATCTCCCATTTTACAGATGAAAAAACTGAGGCTCAGAGAACTGACCGGCCTAAGGACGTAAAGCTGAGCTGCAAACCGAGATTTCCTTTCCGCTCGTTACTGAATGCTGTGCCCCCCTGCTTACTTGCATAGAGGCAGAGTTTTTTGTTGCTACAGAGAGAATTACCCAACGGCTGTTTTTAGAACTTCTCGCTTGGCTACAAATGCACTTTTCTGGGTAATGGCACTTGGTGAAATTAGGGAGACGTCATAGGGCAGGGCTCCATAAGTGTATTCAGCCAGTGCATTAGGTAGGCTTTTGTTTTTATAAAGCACCTTGCAGTCCTAACCATTAGAAGAGGTAAGGTTCTTTCTGGCATACGGTGCAATTCAAAGATGAGCCTTGGGAATGGTAAGAAAAAGAGTTGTCACCAGCATTCCCAGCCCAATGAAGTCCCCTTCTTTCTAATATGCGCTCTATGAAAGTTAAGACATTCCAGGAGTTGACTAACACAAAAGAATTACTTAATACTTCTGAGAAAGACCTGATTTAAATGCCAGATATCCAGATCTTAAGAAAGTGATCAGCATTAAGTAACCATTCTAGCTCTAGAATCACATACCCAACTCCTCTTTAGCTGCTCCTTTTCTCCATTGGCTATTTCAAATGGAGGAGTGAAGAAAAGGGACAGGAGGAGTAACTGAGTGCTCTAAAGAGAGAGTCTCCTCAGGCTTGAGAGTTCAGCCACTCTAACCCTCAAGCTTCTCACACCCTTTCTACATGTTACTAGAACAGCATTAAAATACCAACTAGTGGGCAGCCTGGGTGGCTCAGAGGTTTAGTGCTGACTTCCGCCCAGGGCGTGATCCTGGAGACCTGGGATCGAGACCCACATCAGGCTCCCTGCATGGGGCCTGCTTGTGTCTCTGCCTCTCTCTCTTTCCCTGTGTCTCTCGTTAATAAATAAGTAAATAAAAAAATAAAAATAAAAAAAAACCAACTAGCACATTTGCCTGCAATCATGTAAAATTGGCACTTTTCTTGCCAAAATGCTATATTATAAATAACAACGTCCTCAATTTTTTGGAATGCGACTGCTCTATTAATTTTTGCTTGACCCTCAGCTTAACACTAGTCAACAGTTAACTGATTTCTTCACTGTTGTCCAAACTGAAGTGTGGATATGCTTCCCATCAGCTCACAGGAGGCAATATTTAAAAGTTTTGCACATATCAGCAGAGTAACAAAAAGCCTTTCCTCATGGGTGATGAAAAGTTTGATGTAAACCAAAATTATATACCAGTGAAAAAACTACTGATAGTTTTTTTCAAATATGTATGTAGTAATGAAGTACAGGTAGTAAAAGCAAATATACCTAATTCTCTGAGATGCGAAAGTATCATAAGTCAATACCTCATCTACATGACATAATCAGGCTAATTAGGAGTTAAGATATATGTGGGGGGGATGTATGGTACTGTTGGTTAGAATAAGTGTGATGTAGATGATCCTGGTGAAGAGATTCCTACCCCCTCTCCTTACAAAAGCAAAGCCCAAGCAGAGTGCCGTGAAGTATATTTCAAAGAAAGAATGTTTCACACAAAGCATGGTCCATTGAGATGCTTATGATTCCTAGAAAAAGCAAAATCTCGGTGAATATAACACTCAGTGGGGCCATCTCAATACACCTGTTCCTTCTGAGTCCTGGAACACTTCACGCTTAATAGCCTAGATCCTAATGGAGGGCGGACCACATGCACAGAAACAAAGGGTGAGCCCAAGAACATGAGGAATTTTAAATGGAATGGCTTTTATTTGCATTTATATCTCTTCTAATATGAGGCACAAAAAAGTCTAAATAGGTGAGATTAACACCTGAAACATGCACAAAATTTCTTTACAGCCCTGATTTCCATTACTTCTCTGCAGAACTGCTGGTTTATTTTTACTTGACTCTCAGAGAGCTTAGTCTAACACTAGTCAATAGTTCACTGATTTCTTCACCGTTGTCCAATTGAGGTTTATTTTTACTTGACTCTCAGAGAGTTTAGTCTAACACTAGTCAATAGTTCACTGATTTCTCCACCATTGTCTCACGATTCTCAGGAAGCAAAGTTTACAAATTTTGTGTACATCAACAGAATAACCTGCTTTAGGGAAGTCCCTGAATTAAGGAATTCTTGCATTTAATACATGTTTATTATAAAATATAACTCAGAGAAAAGTGAGCTAAAGCATAAATTATCACAAATCAAACACCCCTGTAACTTTCATCTAGATTGAGAAATAGAACATTGCTAGCACCCTGGAAATCCCCCTATGCCCTCTCCCAATCCCTTCACTCTCCCTACCTGCTGAAGGTAACCACCATCCTCAGTTTTATAGTACACATTTCCTTGTTTTTCTTTATGGTTCTAACAATTAGGCATGCATCCCTTACCTGCTTTTTGAATTTATATGATCATATATATGGTATGTTCTTCTTTGGTTTCTTTGACATGTTTGTGATATTTATCCATATTATTGCATGTAGTTGTAGTGCATCCATTTTCTTTGCCATATAGTATTCCTTTAAATATATATACCAGAGGTTTTTGGGGTTTTTTTTTTTTTTGAGATTTTTATTTATTCATGAGATACAGAAAGAGAGAGAGAGAGGCAGAGGGAGAAGCAGGCTCCATGCAGGGAGCCCAATGTGGGACTCGATCCTGGGTCTCCAGGATCACACCCTGGGATGAAAGCAGCACTAAACTGCTGAGCCACCGGGGCTACCTAAGTTTATCTATTCTATAATTAATGGACTATTGTCGATAAGGCTGGGACTATTGTGGATAAGCTTGCTATGAACATTTTTGCTTATGTCTCTAGTTGTACATGTAGATGAATTTCTGTTAAGTACCCACGTAAGAGTAGCATTACTAGGTCACCAACTATGCATATGTTTAATAGGTAGTGAATTGCCAAACTATTCCACAGAAATTGCACAAATGTATCCCAGCAGCATATGAGAATTGCCATTGTTCTACCATATGTTTTGTCAGTCTAGTTAAGTTTTAGCTATTATATACTATTATCTTAACTGTGATTCATATCTCCCTGATTACTAATGAAGTTGAGGGGCTTTTTTGTATGTTTGTTGACCATTTGGATATAATTTGTGAATGTATAATGAAAATAAATCTCTTGTATTGCCTTCTAGAAGCCTTATAGTTTTTCCTTTCATCTATAGTTTACTTGGAATTAATTTTTGTTTATGGGGTAAAGATCAGGTTTCTGGGGGTTTGTTCCATATGAGTATCCAGCTGTTTTAGTACCACTTGTTGAAATGATCTGGTTCCAGGGGTGCCTGGGTGGCTTAGTCAGTTGAACGTCCAACTTCTTGATTTCAGCCCAGGTCATGATCTCAGAGTGTTGAGATCAAGCGCCACATCAGGCTCTGCACTCAGTGGGAGTCTGGTTGGGATTCTCTCTCTTCCCTCCCTCTGCCCCTCCCTCCAGCTTGGGCATGCATAATCTCTCTCTCTCTCTCTTCTCTCTCTAAAATAAATAAATCTTAAAAAAAATCAGATCTTGTTCTACATTGCCATCTTTGTCATAAGTGTCCAAATAGCATTTGTCTATCTCTGGGCTCTGTATTTTAATCCATTGGTCTATTTGTCTATCTTATGCCAGTATCACATGTCTTAACTATGGTATACTCTTCTATTTTATTATTTTTTTTGGTACTCTTTTAGATCTGCTACATACAATTATATCATTTGTGAACGATAACAGTTAATTTCTTCAGTTGATTTCTTTCTGATCCTTATACCTTACACTTCTTTTTCTTGCCTTATTCAGCTGGCTAGGAACTCAAGTACAATGTTGAATTGAAGTTGTAAGAGTAGCACCCTTATCTTATTCCTGGTTTCAAAGGGAAATCTCTCAACATTTCACCATTGTTTGAAGTGGTTTGCTAGTTGTTGTTCTTTTTTTTCCTTAACCTTTTAGTAGATTAAGGAGCTCCCTTTCTAATCCTAGTTTGTTGAGAGTTTTTATCATGGATATATATTGAGTTTTATCAGATGTTTTTTCTGCATCTGTTGAGATGATAACATGATTTTTCTCTTTTGTTCTGTTAGTACAGTGAATTACATGGATTGTTTTTCCACTGTTAACCAATCTTGCAATGCTAGCATTAATCCAACTTGATCATGAAGTATTGGCCTTTTTATATATAACTTAATACTGACTTAAAATTTGTTTAAGATTTTGCTTCTAGTAAGGCTGGTCTATTATTTTCCTAATAGGAGCATGTCAACTTTTGCTGGCCTCACGAAATCAGCTAGTGAGTACTCCTTTGTTTTCTAAGTTTTGAGAAGAGTTTGTGTAAAATTGATCATTATTTCTTCCTTTAATTGTTAGAATTCACCAAAGAAATGGTCTGAACCTAGAGCTTGCTTTACAGAAAGGTTTTTATTTATAGATTAAATAGTTTAATGTTATTCTGATTTTCTGTTTCTACTTGTTTCAGTTTTTGACTGCGTTTTTTTCTAGGAAATTTTATGCTTAAATTACATTTTCAAATTTATTGGCAAAGTTTTTCATAGTGTCTTCTATTGTCATTTTAACAGCTATAAGATCTTTGATAATGTCCCACTTTTCATTCTCAACATTGGTTATTTTGCTCTCTCTCTCTCTCTCTCTCTAATCAATTTGCCAGGTATTTATCAATTTTATTACTTTTTTTACAGGACCAGCATTTGCCTTTGTTGATTCTATTTTATGTATGCTTTCTCTTTCATTAACTTCTGCTAATATTCCTTATTGATTCCTATCCTCTACTTTTTATTTCTTAGTTTCTTGAGGTGAATGCTTAGCTTTTTTATTTTTTAGCCTTTTTTGTATGTTTGTTTTCTAATATATGTGTTTAGGACTATACATTTTTCTCTAAGTAATTGATTTCTTTCATGTTTTGGTAACAATATCTTCATTATTATCCAGTCCCAAATAATTTTCATTTGTATTTGAAGAAAATAATTTGTATTTGCTCTTGTTTTAGGATATAGTGTTCCCCAAAAATAAATTGGACCTAATCATTAAATTTTTTTAAATCTTAATATCCTGTTTTTTTTATTTTGTCTACTTATTTTTATCAGTTATTAAAGCATATTAAAATCTCCCACTGTTTTTATGGATTTATCTAATTTTCCTTGTACTGCTAATCTTTGCTTTCTACTTCAAAACTATGTATTAGACATGTCAAAATTATATTTTCCTGATAAATTGAATCTTTTACAACTATCAAATATCCCTCTTTGTTTTTAATAATGATTTTTGTATTAAACCCTAGCTACACCAAGGTGTGTGTGTGTGTGTGTGTGTGTGTGTGTTCCTATCCTTTAACTTTTAATATTCTGTATACATATATATTTAAATGTGTCTCTTGTAAACAGCTTAGGTGGTTGGTTTTTTTTAAAGATTTATTTATTTTATTTTAGAGAGAGAGGTGGTGGAGGAAGGACAGAGGGAAAGAATCTCAAGCAGACTCCCCACTGAGTGGGGAGGTAATATGGGGCTTAATCTCAAGACCCTGAGATCATGACCTGAGCTGAAATCAAGAGTAGGCAACTTAACCACCTGAGCCACCCAGGTGCCCCTTACATGTTTTCTTTTAAGCAGTCCAAGTATAAAATATTGGATCATTTAGCCCATTTAAGTTTAATTGGCTTACTCATATATTTGGTGTAATAGCTGAGAGCACTAGCCTCACTACCAGACAGAATTGGGTTCAAATATTGGCTCTATCATTGACCAGATATATTATCTGAGCTTCTCACACTAATATCTCAGGGCTTGGCTCCTCATCTGGAAAACTGCGATGGTAATGACTACTTCCCAGAACTATTAAAGGATTAATTAGCAAAAAAATATAGTAAATTTTAATTGCTATTATGGAAGTGAAAGTGAGGCTAGTTTAAGGATGACAGGCTTCCTAGAAAAGATAATCAGTATTAGAGAGAGAACAAATAAGGCTGAATGGGTAATGTGAGACCAAATCATCAGAGCATTGAAAACTTAATGGAGGAGTAAAAACTTGATCTAGCGGGAGCTATTACAAGCTCTTGAGCAGAGGATTAGCATGATATACCTGGAAAGACTACTACTTTGAAATTCGTTCTCAAGTTGAAGACAGCCTATTGGATATACCAGAGGACCTGTTGGCAGTTGTAAAAAGAGACTGTACCAGCAAATGATGAAGACCTGAAGAACTACAAAAGAATTTAACAATGCTTTTGAATGACAGGAGAGCACTGAACTGTGGTTAGCTGTCTCTCCAGTAAAGGGCACTGACGTAGCTTAGGAAGTGAAGATATTTAATGTGAAAGTGGCTAAAGGTGGTTCCATGTTCTGTCACAATACATTTCTATTCCAGGATGTCACAATCACACCATACAGGCAAGGAGAAACTGACTTACTTAGCCAAATCATTGGGGTAGAGTTGAAAGTACTTTATGTTGTCTTAATGCTCTTAGATTACTATACAATCTAAAATTCTCTATTTCTTTATTTTTTCATATTTCTGGCAGGAGTAATTTCTAGTCTACCTACCTGTCAGATTTATTGTTAAATGATAAGTGTGCAGGCATTTTGGAAGCCAAAATTACAGTCACTTTAAAATAATTATTTTACTTAGGACATATAAAATCAAGATTTGATATTTTATCAATTAATACTCTAAAACAGTAAACTTTTAAGTTTTCTTTTAAAGATTTTATTTATTTATTCATGAGAGACACAGAGAGAGGCAGAGGCACAGGCAGAGGGAGAAGCAGCCTCCATGCAGGGAGCCTGGTGTGGGACTCAATCCCGGGACTCCAGAGTCATGCTCTAGGCCAAAGGAAGGTGCTCAACCACTGAGCCACCAAGGTGTTCCTAAACTTTTAAGCTTTTAAGTAAAGTCTCTAGGGTATTTTAATGATCTTAAAAATTGAGACCCCCTCCCAATAGCTTTTTTTTTTTAAGATTTTATTTATTTATTCATAGAGATGCAGAGAGAGAGAGTAGCAGAGACACAAGCAGAGGGAAAAGCAGGCTCCATGCAGAGAGCCCAACGTGGGACTCGATCCAGGGTCTCCAGGATCACACCCTGGGCTGCTGGCGGCGCTAAACCACTGCGCCACTGGGGCTGCCCCTAGCTTTTGTTTATATCTGCTACATACCTGTCTACTTATACCGTATTAGAAATTAAAATTGAAAAACATTTAAAGTAATTCTTTATTATTTTATAATGAGAAACCAATATGTATTAATCTAAATAAAATACTTTTATTAAAAATAACTGTATTTCCCAGAGGAAAAAAACCTGAGAAGAATGGCATTCCTTTACATTTTTGCAAATTTCTTTAATGCCTGGCTTAATAGAAGACAGCTGGATTCTCATATCTGCTTCTGAATTCAATCTGTTGAGATATCACGTGCCATGTAACTACTGAAAACTTGACACTCATGAGAGAATGAGAGTGAAAAAGACAAATAACACCTTAGTCTTATTATGAAAATGGTTTTGACTTTGCTGACACCCTGAAAGTGTTTCAAGGACCCACAAGGGTTTCCAGGCCACATCTTGAGAACTGCTGCTCTAAAGTATTTCTATAGATGACTGCTAAAATGTTTGCTGGGTAAACTCTAGACAATTAGATGCTGGAAGTGGTTCTACTGCCATAAAGTAGTGGCATAATGCAGTGCCATTATTAATAAAACAAAGTTGTCAAAAATAATTAAAACATAATTTCATAATTAAGGCAAATTCCATAATCATATAAAATATGTATTTTTAAATTTCATACATTTTGGAAATGATGCCTACACTTTAAAATCAAATTTTGAAAAAATAAAATTTTGAAATGCAATTCATGTATGAACAGAAACTTAATTCTTATAACTGGGGTCAATAAATTTAGTGTGGCTTTTGTGACATAGCAAGATTTGTTACTTAAACATTAATTAAGTTATTGGTTTACCTTGTAAATTCAGGCTCACTCCCATTCTAGGCTTATAATGTTATTTTTATCATTGTATTTAGATCAGTGGTAAATAGTTAAAAGGATATCCTGGGCCAATTGTTCCCAAGGCAATTTTTTTTTTAAGCTATGGAGATCATGGTTTGGAAATTGTTTATTTACAAATCCTACCATTTGGCCTTTTCATACCTTCAGGTTTCTTAAGCCTTCTTGATTAGTCCATTTGTGTGTGTGTGTGTGGACAACAGTGAGCCAGTACCCAGGAAAAGAGATATTCTCAAAGGTAAGTCTTTTCTGTCCTAATTCAGGTATGCTGGGAATTTTTTTTTTCCATTGCTCAAACATATTCTCTGGGGATAAAGAAATGAAGTACGTCTTTGAATGTGCTAAGAGTCCTCCAGAGCCTCAAAGAGAGCCAAGTTTGAGGCTGTTGTGGCAAAAAGTAAGTGGTTTTCAGGCACCTGTAACTCAACTCTGGCTAAATCTACCTTCGGCTGCTTCAGAACTATATACGTTCTTAGGAATCCTACTCCATATTCTGAAGAACTTACGGTAGAAATAATTTGTCTGCTTAACCCTCTATAGGTGTCCCTCATCTTTCTTTCTACTCACTCATTTCCTATTATTACCTTTCCTGAATGGAGAAGCCATCTTTACTACCTACTGCCTTAGGTTATCCTGCAAGAAAGCTACTATGAGTCTATTAGGGGTACACACACCTCTAATGGTCATCCTTATCCTTTTACAGGTAAAGAAGTTTTGTCTCTAGTCTTACTAAACCATGGCACTACCTCCCACCACCAGCAATCACATCTCCTTAAAGCCTGTAGAGGTATAAAACCCACTTTGAATCAAAAGCTTAAAAAGATCTACTAACTACCCATGCAGTGTTTCCACTGCAACCCAAAATCTGCTTTTAAAGAAGCAATATCTGTTTTTGAAATCTAACTTTTAAAATGGGGCACCTGGGTTGCTCAGTTAAACGTCTGCCTTTGGCTCAGGTCATGATCTCAGGGGCTCAAGCCTGGGATCAAGCCCTGTGTTGGGCTTCCAGCTCAGTGGGGAAACTGCTTGTCCCTCTTACTCCTCACCCCACTTGTGCTCTCTCTCTCTCAAATAAATAAAATATTTTAAAATAAAATAAAGTATTGTCATATTAAATGAATATGTTGTCAAAGATATATGGTAGCTTCTTCATGCTCTTATTTTTTTCTTAATTTTTAAACAACCCCCCCTTTGTATTTTTTCTTTCTATTAAACCCATATTTTTTCTTTCCTGTTTTTCAATTTGAGTTTATATAATGAGAGCTAGAAAAGAGGTAAGAAGGTATTCAGAGTCAGGAAAATGAGACAGGGTCATGGGAAGACGACCAAAACCAATGTCAGGAAATCTCCCTGAGAGAAACCAAGGCAGGAAACATACCTCAAAATAGAGCCCTGAGTAGAACCACTAATACCCAGACTGCAAGGCATGAATGTGAGGATAGTCATTTGGAGGCCAACTAATTCTGCTAAAGTGGGACCTTTTTATTTTTATTTTTTTTAAAGATTTTATTCATTCATGAGAGAGAGAGAGAGACAGAGACAGAGACACAGGCAGAGGGAGAAGTAGGCCCCATGCAGGGAGCCTGATGTGGGACTCCATCCCGGGACCCTGGATCATGCCCTGAGCCAAAGGCAGATGCTCAACCTCTGAGTCATCCAGGCATCCTGGGGGACCTTTTAAAAATACACTCTTTAAGGCCATTGTCTGACCCTCTGAATATAGTCCTCAAAAAGTATCCTTCATCTAGCTTGTTTGAAGCTTGTGTGCAAAATAATGGTGTGTTTGCAGTGTTAAATAATTTCCCACTTCTGTTTCAAAGGGATTTAAATATTAGGAGACTATGATTCATTTATTTCTTTTTTTTAAAGTAGGCTCTATGCCCAGCATGGAGCCCAACATGGGCTTGAACTCATGACTTTGAGATCAAGACCTGAGCTGAGATCAAGAGTCAGACACTTATCAAACTGAGCTACCCCAGTTCATTTCTTATTTCTAGAAGAAAGAAAGAAGAAAGAGAAAAAGAAAGAAAAAGAAAGAAAGAAAGAAAGAAAGAAAGAAAGAAAAACCCAACGCTACTTGTCCAAAAGTAATATTCTAATTTGCTTATGTGTAGTTGAAGGTGAGGCAGAGTTGAAATTCACATTACTGAAATTTTAATTATAGTCAGTTCTAGCAATTTATTTCTATGATGAGCCATATGATTCATAAATAGCTTTTAAGCCCAGTTATTTAATCACAGTTCAGGTTAGAAGAGATTGCCTGTGTACGGTAGGGTCATAGGATGAGCCTCCAGGGAGCAAGCAGGAGGCTGGTCGAGGGGTGAACATCAAGAAATCTCCTACAAGGGAACAGTGCACCAGCTGGAAAAACATGATACCAGATGCAATAATAATCATGTAGACATTTGGCCCCACAGCAGCTAGGGGTTCTACTAACGGGAGGGGAAGATATTTGAGTGAATGAATCACTGTGTATACTAGTTCTGGGTGGTACTTTTCAGAGTTCAGGGAAATCAGCCTTCAGTGGCTACCCATTAACCTGCCCTTTTGCTACTTAGCTATAAATACATTTGTAGTCAGCAGCATCCCAAGTTCTAAACATGATTTTCTAAAGATTACTCCATCATCAAGGAAGTTTGTTTATTATAACCAATCTATGGATCTTCCAGCAGATCTTAAAATGTCAGGAAAAAAAAGTTTCAGAAAAATTTTACTGCAAAAACAGTAAGAGAAGTCATTTCTTCAACCTAATATAAAGCCAATGTTTCACATTTCAGTGTACTTGTGGTATATGGGCTATCAATTGCTGGCTAACAAAGTACCCTAAAATTTAGCAGCTTAAAACAACAAACATTATGATCTCATATAGTTTCTGAGAATCAGGAACTCAGCAGTGGCTTATGCAGGTGGTTCTGGCACATAATCTCTTAGGTGTTTCAGTCAAGCTGTTGGCCAGAGTTGTAGTCATCTCATCTCAAGGCTTAACTAGAGTCAAAGAATTCACTTCCAAGTTCATTCACAAGATGGTTAGCCTAACTCCATTCCTTACTATAAGATTTTCTCCATAGGCTGCCTGAATGTCCTCCTGGCATGGCAGCTGTTTTCTCATAGAATAAATGATGAGACAGAGAATGAGAAAGAGAAAGAGGAAACCAAGCAGATGAGAGAGCATGCAAGATAGAAGCCACAGTCATTTATAATCTAGTCTTGGAAATAACATATCATCATTTATGCCTTATTCTGTTGGTCACACAGACCAGCCCTAGTACATCATAGAAGGGGAAACACAAGGATGTGAATACCAAGAGGCAGGGATTATTGGGGACCATTTTAGAGGCTGAGTACTACATGTAGGATAGAAGAAGAGAAATAACTCTCAAGTATTAGAGAGAGGATATATGAAAGTGGATTTGCAAGAGTTGTCTTTGAGTGAAGTATAGTTGGACCCTGATCTATCTAGGATGGTTTGCTTACTAAAGAGGAAGCCAAACAGTAACTTTCAGTCATGTAGAATTTTCAAAGTACCTTAATGCTATAAATCTCTGTGTATAAAAGCAGAGAACCCCTATCAAGCACTCAAGCCAAGGGATGCCAAGCTTAGGTACATTCAGAGCTAAATGGACAGCAATAGCAATTGCTGCTAATTTCTATTTTATCCCCACCTTTCCCAAATGGGGTCACACATACCCCTCTGCCAAAATCTGGTTCCTGGTTTCTAGTCCCAGCCCTGGTGGACTTCCGTCTGACTTGGCAGAAATGCTCTAGCCTGGCTTTTTTGTGGATTTGTTATCTTAACCACCACAACAAAAGAATCATGGTAGAAAAGACAGCATATGGTTTTTGCCTTCAACAGCCTTAAAATGTCAACAAAGGAAGAAAATAATCTCCTATACCCACATCCACAATACCCTTGAAGAAAACATTGGAAAATTTATAAATTGATAGTCCCTACCTATCTCTAGTCCTCAGTTTATATATATCAAATTAAAAGTTATGCTTCAGGGATCCCTGGGTGGCGCAGCGGTTTAGCGCCTGCCTTTGGCCCAGGGCACGATCCTGGAGACCCTGGATCGAATCCCATGTCGGGCTCCGGGTGCATGGAGCCTGCTTCTCCCTCTGCCTATGTCTCTGCCTCTCTCTCTCTCTCTCTCTCTCTCTCTCTCTCTCTCTGTGTGTGTGTGTGTGTGACTATCATAAATAAATAAAAATTATTTAAAAAAATAAAAAAAATAAAAATAAAAGTTATGCTTCAGTCTCTTCCCCGTATTCATCTATAAATCCATACTTACGTGTTGATTTCTAGCACTAATAGTTTTGAAAAGCATTTTAGGGTTTCCTACCATACCTTCAGAATTCAAGTCATCACTGCAAATATCTTGATCTAACAATAGCAATTGATATGGATAAATCGCTGAAGTGTAAATAAATTTGTCTAGCTAGATAAGCCTATTTTTTTAAATATGTTGATGAGAATTATAATAAAGTATGCAATCTATTGACAAGGACATACTGTCTCATTGAAAATAAAGACTAATAACATACTCAAAAGTAGCTCTAATATTGATAAACTGGAGGTGCCTGGGTGGCTTAAGCATCTTAAGTTGGTTAGGCATCTGGCTTCAGCTCAGGTCATGATCCCAGGATCCTGCAATCGAGCCCCAGTCATGCTTCCTGGAGCCTGTACAGGGAGCCCACTTCACCCTCTCCCTTTGCCCCTCCCCACCACCTCCGCTCATGCTCTCTCTCTCTCTCTCTCAAATAAATGAATAAATAAAACCTTTAAAAAAATAAAATTGATAAACTGTGCAAATCGAAGAATGATTATTTAACTATAGTAGAAGAGAAAGGGAAAGATGAGTCACATCTTTTCACTTTCATAATAGTTATCATGAAAGAAATAGGTTTTATGATAATTTTACCCATTGATAAAAAGAGACTTAATCATTTTTACAATCAGTTGAATAATAAATTAACTCTTTTTAATGGAAAGAGTTTGATGCATATGACTGCTCATTTTAAGTCTAATAGTCACTATTAATCATTATCTCCTCCCAACCCAACAGTCCTCTCAATATCCTACAGTTCTGAGGTGCAGGTTCCTTTTTGAGTCCTTTCTTGATGTTATCAGAACATGTGGAATTATATTGTTGTCAGGTATTTTCTTCCTGTCAAGATAATTCATTGGTATCTTTTTAAAGGAGGTGTGGGGGGTTTTTTGTAGGGTTTGTTTTTTTTTTT